ATCCCTTATTCTAAGAGGTAAAAAAGAGTAATTACGTTCTCATTCTTCATGCCAAACATATTTAGATGTAGTTGTTGAAGACGATTAGATAACAGTTCAATTCTTCTTAATGAAATCAAATGTTAGGGGATTCAAACCATAAAATAGTTTTTAAAAGGGGGTACCGATTATGTTATTGAAGAACATTGACCAAATATATGGATTGTGTAATGGTAAAAGATTAATCATTAAAGAGATGTGAAAGAACATTATCAATGTAATTGATGTTTCGAGAAATCGCGTTGGAGAAAAAGGTTTACATACCCTGAATAAAATTTGGTATCATCTGATAGAATTCTCAATATAATAGTCTTATGTTTTGCTATGACTATAAACAAAAGTCAATGTCAAACATTGCCCTTTGCTATATTATTTTTAACCAATTCGGGGCTTACTCATGGTTAGCTTTATGACACTGTTTCACGAGTAAAGAAAAAGACATGATTAAAAAATGTTGTGTACACTAAAGTCTTTCAAAAAAATTGGAATTAAAAAAGATTTTTTCGAGTACACTTTCAATTTCTCAAATATTATATTCTACTTTGTCATTGTTTTCCATTGATTAAAATTTGTGACAGAAATATATTTACTTGATTTTGGAATAAATATTTCATCGAAAAATTTCAAAATCGACAACAGTTTCGTTCGACCCCGTGCATCGCACGGGTCAAAATACTAGCTAAATTTACATTTTCAACATCCATAATCCAGCCATAAGCAATCTCCTTCCAACTTCAAGGTTTGCAACTTTATCTTCTATCCATTATTAAATGTTCTTTCTCCTAGCAATGATTCTCTGATTTTTTTTTGCTATGTGATTGCAGGAATAATATACATGGATCGAACTCCAAAATTCAAGCCAAGTGGATAATGGTTAAAGGCTTACCGTTAAAGATACAAACAATAAGGCACAACTTGGATGATAGTTCACCAAGAAACACTACACAATTCTATTTCAGTTTTGAAGAAATACAGAGTAGAGGATTAAAAAAATTACTCGAGTGTGCATCTGCACTAATGACTTCAATAAACTACAGAGTACATTACTGGGTATTTCCTATAAGCTTATCAAATTTGAAAGATATTCTAAAAAAACTATGAATGGTGCATTGTTCATTGTTCAATGCATTAGAAATTAAAACTATGATACTTTGTACTTTTTTTAAAACTGATGAAGGGCATGTTCTCTGAAAAACAATGTTAAAAATCTACGGAGTATGAGTTTAGGATTCAAATCTCAAATAGTTTTTTATATACTTATTAAATACTATTTTCACAGAAATTTAAAGATCTTTCAGAAAAAAATGTGGAAGATGAAACAAATCAATTAACAGATAGAAATAATTGAACCTCTCAACAAAACTCATGTTATTTTGCTCCAATTATTCTATGTTCAAATTAATAAATACTCCCTTTGTTCTGATGCGTTTAGAACAAATGATATTTTTCATCTACAATCATATATTTAAAAAAAAAAACTATTTCGAGTAAATTACTCCATGATAAAAAAAACGTACAAAAAGGTATAAATGATTAGAATTCTTATATAGGAAAAGAGGTTTACAAAATGAAAAATCGGTCCGTTGACTCTTAGTCCTTCCTCATTTGTCAAGATTTGGAAATAAAATTCAAATAATTGTTTATGCTACTTTCAAATTCATGCTTTTTGAATTGCATGTGGGTTTTTGTTAGATTTTTACAAAAAAAAAATAGATCTAGACTTGCATGTCAAAACACACCTTAAAAAATGATTAAAACAAATTTAAAGATAAATCGATTAAGTTTCTTTGGAATTTTTGTAAGAACATACTAAAATCCAGAAATTTCAAGAGAAGAAAAAGACAGATCTAAGAAATCATCATGAAAATTAAGAACAATGGTTTATATGAACATACAAATACCAAGAAAATTAATATTTTGGAATTCAGAGTGGAAGAGATGAAACAATGCATACCGCAGATGGTGGCCACCAACCATCATTTTTCGCCGTGTAAGATCGACGACTGGTCGGGTCAAAACAAAAGGTAAGTGACGGTGTACCGGCATGGTTAACCCGTGAATCGGCCGCCGTTTGAGATCTCAAATGGAAGACCCTAGAGAGAGAGAAAGCAAATGAGAATCAGAGCATAGGTCGGCCATGTAGCTGGCGAAATAATTTGGGTTGGGGGAATTAGCATAGGTCGGAATTATTTGAGACATTTGCTTTTTCCACGATCGCGGGAACTTTTGTTTATTTTTACGTTTTTGTTAGTTATTTGATAAAATAAAATATTCTTTACATCTCTTATTTCGAAGAACTTTTCATATAGTTTTTTGATATGTAATTTTTGTTTTTTATTTCTTTACCAATATGTAAATAAAATGAATTTAAAAAACTTAATATTTTACCTCGATAATAGAAATGTGACAAATAATTTGAGACGGGGGAGTATTTAGGATGTTGGAGGTGCGAAGATCTTAGTGTTAGGTTTCGTTTTTTTAGTTTTAGGGTTAATTGGTATGATTTGGGTTGGGTTTGAATAATCAGGAAAATATATTTCTTCCCTCTCACAAAATTTTTCAAATTTTTTCAAATTAGAAAGATAGTACTCCATTCGTTCCATTTTAAATTGTCTGTTTTTCTTTTTTATCTGATTCAAAATAAGTTGTCTGTTTTTAAATATAGTAAACTCTTAAGGGTAAAATACCCAAACTACCACTCAAACAAGCCATTTTCCTTCCTTAAATATGCCCCAAATTCAAAACAGGCATATTTCGGAAATAAAAACATGGAAGTCATATTTTGGTATATTTTCAATGTTTTAGTCTTACTTTGGTCTTTTTCCCTTAAATGAAAGAACAAAGTTAATAAAATTTGAATATATAAATAATAAATGAGAATATAATTTTTTTTGAATAGATAAATATGGCTAAAAGTAATGTAGAGAAGAGATAATGATGTTAGTTGTAAAAAGTTTCTTAATATGAAATATCCAACCCTATTTTGTGACAGATAGAAAAAGATATTGTTGAATGTTATTCTGAGTCGAGGGAAGTATAGAATTTGTTAAATTAGATGAATAATTTATGCAATTTCTAATTCTGTCAATTAGCTGACGCCAAACAAAAAGAAGCGTAGGTTTATGATATGTAAAATTTTGTGAAATTGTCAACTTCATTACATTCCTTATTGGAAAAAAATATTTACACAGGATTATACGTTAAAACTTTACATCCCGTATATACAACCCTGGCCCATACACATTAAAGGCTCATTTGATAAGTTTCGGAGGTATGATAAGACATAAATTTTAATATCTGGGAAAAATCATATGAATTTTGAAATCCAAAACAAAGTTCTTTGGATATGTTTAAAATCATGATTTAATTAGTGATAAGCAGATGTGATCAGCAACGAGAGTGGTTGGTTGTGACAATAATAGCCGGTGACGGAAAATGGTCAATAGTTGAGAGAGATATCAAACCTCATATTAAAGTCTTCCAAATTTAGGAAATATCGGAATCCTCCAGTTTGCCAATTTATGATATCTGAAGATATCAAACATAGTTAAAGTTTGACAATATAAATAAAAAACAGTCAACTAATTTCCTAAAGCTCATTAGTTTGGAAACAAGTCAAACAATTGTTATTTTTAATGAAATATAAAATTAATTAATTTTTTAAATAAGATTTTGGAATGATTGGGTGGAAAAAAAGATTACTTTGTTGTAAAAAATGTAGTGAAATTACATGCAGTGAAATTAGAGAGCAAACAAATTTGTAGACAAAAAATGGTTGCGAAAAATGTTCCGGAGAAAAGCATTGAACAATAATGGAAGTAAAAAAACAGAGATTAAGATCATGTTCTCTTCATGGTCAACTCTATGTTGCAATTTCACGTGTTACAAGTCGCGAAGGATTAACGATTTTGATTTACAATAAAGATCTTCCGTCAACGAACCAAACTACGAATGTAGTTTATAAAGAAGTGTTCCAAAACTTATAACACTGCATATCGACTATGGTCTTTCCTGTACACAACCTTATTTTAGGTATTTTTAATATAATTTGTTATCTTTTAATTTTTGCATCATTTTTTTATTTTATATCATTACTAAATATAATTAATTTTACAGCTCGTACATCGCACGGGTACGAGTCTAATAGTAAGATAACAATAGGATATCACTTAAAAGGATAAATGATTAGACTAAAAATGGGTTGACTAGAAGATAAAAGTCGGACTGCCCGAACAAGGACTAATTAATAATTTAGACTAGTGGAGGGGGCGCATAGCTTGTATTAAAATAAAGGATCCAAAAAAAATTTCTTGATGAATTTACTTCACGTAATAAGCTCTCATACTCTCACTTGAATATAATTTTTGGAATACTCTCGATTTTCTGTTAAATAATCTCAGGTCAAGTATTATTTGAAATATACTTTGAAATGCTTTTGATTTTCTTTTTATGAAAACTCACATATCTATACTTTATTTAAAAAAAAGAAAAAAGGAGAATGTTTTTCCGCTCATACATGAGACTCATATATGGAAAGTGTTAACAACACAAATCGTAGTTTAACTATTTTGCATCAATATTTTCCTTCCATTTTAAGTACGTTTTCATTTTTATTTAAATGTTACACCATTTAAGTATTTAAATTAAATTAAATAAATTAAACAGTAGTGAACCACTAGAAAATTATAGTATGAAAACAAAATACAGTACCATTTAAATATGAAAATAAAATTAAAAAATTACAAATTAATAAAGTATGGTCGGGATTAGAATGATTTCATTCAAAAAAACTACGTACAAATTAATTATTTATTTCAAAAAATATTATAATTTACAAGCACGAACATGTAAAAATGATAAATTTTCTAAAATAAATTAGAAAATAAATATGGTATGGTAAGTAAATGATAACATTTAAATACAAAAAAAAATAAAAAACTACAAAATTAATATTAATACTATAATTTACAAGTATGGTAACATTTTAAAAATGACAAATATTCTAATTAGAATATTAGAAAATAAATACGGTCTGGTACGGTAAGCAAATGGCACCATTCAAAAACGAAAACAAAATAAATGGTAAGTTTTCTAAAATAAATTAGGTAAGTGTTCTAAAATAAAAGAGAAAGTAAAATACATCTAAAAATCCTAAGTGTTCTAAAATAAATTAGAAAATAAACATGGTTCGGTAAGTAATTAGTACTATTTAAATACGAAAATAAAACAAAAAAATCAAAATTAATATTAATAATACAATTTACAAACATGAAAATGTTTTAAAAGATGTAAGTGTTCTAATTAGAAAATTAGAAAATAAATTCGATACGGTTGGTCAGCACGATAAGCAAATGGTAGCATTTAAATATAAAAATAAAATAAATGGTAAGTGTTCTAAAATAAATTAGGTAAGTGTTCTAAATAAATTAGAAAATAAAATAAATATCAAAATGGTAAGTGTTCTAAAATATATTAGAAAATAAATATGGTATGGTAAGTAAATGATACCATTTAAATACAAAAATAAAATAGAAAAACTACAAATTAATACTATTAATCAATACTACAATTTACAAGCATGGAAACATGTAAAAATGGTAAGTGTAATCAAATAAATTAAAAAAATAAATACGGTACAGTAAGTAAATGGTACCATTTAAATAAAAAATAAAAAATGATAAATAAATACTATTAATACTATAAGCATGGAAACATGTAACAATGGTAAGTATTCTAAAATTAATACTATTAATACTATAATCTACAAGCATGAACACGTGTTAAAATGGTAAGTGATCTAAAATAAAATAGAAAATAAATACCGTAGGGAAAGTAAATGGTACCATTTAAATACGAAAATAAAATTAAAACTACAAATTCCAAAAATAAATACATTAATATGTTGAATTATTGATTAGATAAGTCAAATTATTGAATTATTGTCAGGGACAATATCTGAAACATGTCGAATTATTGTTACGGTAACCGGTATTTAGTTATGGGCAACTGTATGTTGGAGTTTCAGGAGATATAAATCGCAATGGCTTGAAGATCTTGATATACAATGAAGTAAATGCTCACACGAATTATATGAGTAATGTAATTTATAAAGAAGTCTTTCAAAATTTGTAAATCATTTTACTTTTATATTTTAAAATAATGAAATCTCTACATTCCATTATATACCAATGTATATTATAAAAATGATCTTAATTCAGTAACGTAAGTATGACCCGCGCAACGCACGGGTGTGAGAATAGTCTCACATGCATGATCTAAAATAAACTACAGAGGTCCTTAAAATACGCTGTAATATATTCCAAATAAAATATGCGGTAATATACAACAATGGTACATTTCGTCGATTTGATCGTTAGAATTGAATGTTCCATTTCTTTGAAAAAAACTAAATTTTACCTTGATATTTATTATTTTATTAAAATTTAATAAAATCCTTCAATTTGTCAATGTTAAGAATCTTGAAGTATATTTCTGATAATATTAGACTTGAAAATTCTTAATAGAAAATGAACGGTACTATTGAATAATTTTTTGTATTCCCACTCTACTCCCTAGTTTCAATTATCAAAATATGATATTATATTGGATAAGATATACTCCGGCTATTATCATATTTTAACATAACTAATCAAATATAGTGTCTCCTCCTTCCTTGACTAATTAATTTTTAAAAATTTTGCACTAAATAATATTAAAACATAAGTTATTTTCCAAGATAGTACTTAAACTATTTTATTTCCTAAATAAGACTTAATATTGTCTAGTGAGAGAAATAATGTCCAGTGACGGTGGACATTTACTTAAATAATGACTAATGGATAATGACCAATGATCTAACATTGAAAAATAAAAAACATATGGTCCTATATTGAAAAAGTCATTATATTTTAGTCCTATTTAGGTAAATTTTCCTTAATTTTAATAATACTTTTACGTCCCATTAAATTTTTAAAAGGTGATAAAAGATGCACCTTCAAAATTTATAATTTTGATATTAATTTTTAATGTTGCTTTTACTTTATAATAAATTAGAATATAATGTGTGTGATAAATAAATCTTAATTAGAAAAATATTATAAAAATTATCTATTTTTAGGGTGTGTCTTTTTTGTCTTTGAAAAGTCTTATATAACAGAGGGGTATTTTTTTACATTGTTCATCATTAGAGATGAGCAAAAGGAGTGGATTAGC